GGAGTGGCAAGGGGATTTGTAGCCATGATGTGTAACACAGCATGAAGGAATCAGGGATGTGCGGACTGGAGAGAACAGGGAAAGGAAGGCTGACGATAAGTGTGCTGGAACAGGCCAAATTTAGGACTGTTGTTTCAGCGTAATAATTGTACATTGTGTTCTATTTCACACTCAGAAGTGCCCCGGTTTGGACAATTAAAACTATGAGCTCTCTAATGATGGCCTGCAAACATTTTCAGAGCTGTCTTAGAGAGGATGAATTAGACTTATTCCTCCACCAAGTCTCATGTTTGTAGGCGACCGCAATGTAAGTTGAAATATCTCAAGCAAACAAGAGGGCTTAAGGGCTCCCGTAACCAAGTTGTGGGGAAGGCAGAGCAGGGCTAGCCCTGGGGGAGACAGGACCAAGGCGGTCTCTTTCTCTGCCTCTCCCCTCTCTCACTCTCATCCCTGCTTTTGGAACAGACTTCATATTCCCCTGCTGCTGCCGGCTGCTCTGAACTCTCATCCATCAAGCCTAGGGACCAGAGAGAAAAGGACTCTCCTCACTGCCAGCTCAGCCAGAAAAATCCCTGGAAAAGACATTGGCTCGGTGTGTTTGGTCACGAACAAGGTAAGGGGTGGGGTGAGGAGATGTGCAGGCCAGAATAACTGAATAACCACTCTAAAGCGCTGTCACCCTGGGAAAGGCACAAAGAAACAGACTCCAGCTCAATTTGACTATGGAGGCAGCCTCTGAAGGTAAGGTTCTGATCATTGGAAGTGTTTAATTGCTAGCAGGTGGTGACCTGCTGTGTAGAAGGGTTCATGTGTGGGGTTTAGAATTTGACTAGAAAATCTTTAAATGTCCATATGATTCCAAGATGCTTTACTTCTATAAATTTTCAGTATTGGGTTTTTTGCATAATTAATTTCAAAGAATTCAGGTTCCAAGTATAAGAAATGAAATAATCACCACTCTTCAAAATTGCACTGAATCCCAAGGGACCTGAGGATTACTGCAGAACTATGAGAAGTGACCCAACAAAGGTATGTAATAAATTTAAACCGTATTCTCTAGGGCTTCTTTATATTCTGCAGTTTTCTGATTCCATAAGACCAGCTTCTGCGATGCTGAACGTAACTAAAATTCTTTAAAAGTCACATTGAGTACCAGAGGAAGGGGAACCTTTCCGAACTGGCAGCGGTGAGGACTGTGGTCATGAAATAAAAATGTTAAGTGAAGGTTCGACAAAATCTCTCTCTAAATTTTGTTCAGTCTCCTCTCAAAGATTACAAAGCAGGGAGATGTTATGGTAACAAACACTGTGTTATGTAGTAATGTATGCTGGTGTGTATGCAGTGGGAACATACATCTCCATACATCTGCCCAGTCACCCCATGCTGAGTACTGTCCTGCCCTCTCCCTCTCTCTCTCTCTGTATCATATGCTGGATTCTCTCTCTTTAAATATGTAATATATAGATACTTAGAGAGAGAAATGGATGCTGTATTAGTTTGTTAGGGTTGTGTAGGGGAAGAAGAAGTTTTTCTGACTCTCGTGGTGCCCCTGGCTGTGGCTGAAAATTAAACTGATAAAGACAGATTAAGAGGAGAAAAGCACACAGACGTATTTCATGTTGAGTTTTATGTGCCATGAGAGTCTTCATAAGGAAATGAAGACCTGAAGAAACAGACCTTCTGTTTTATGCTGGGGTTGACGAGGCGTGGACGGTCACGAGGAATCTGATAGGACAGAGGCTGTGAGGGAAGTGCAGGAAACTGGCCGAAGTTACCAAGATCTGTTTGTTCGGCTTCTTCTCGGTCTCACTTTGTCTTCAGAGATAAGGATGCTCCTTCCCTCCGAGTGTGGGAAAGGCACCTCTCATTCACCTCTCACAGGAGGGTTTTATGATCTGTTTCTGGGGATGAGGGCAGAGTGACCTTCCTGCTTCTGCCATTTTCCCGAATGTCCTTTAGCTTAAAATATTCAGTATGCCAAGGTAGCATATTTGTGTCCTGAGTATTTGGACATTTGACGAAATGGGATCACAGATCATTATGAACTAGTGTTGAAAAGATTGTTTTCTTAAGTAATCGAAGGCCTGCTGAAGACAGTGTGAAGAGCAGTGGGTTACTGTAAGACACAAAATCTTGGTTTCCCAGGCAAACTACTTAAAAGGTAAAGCACCCCCCTTTTAAAAATAGTTTCTTATCAAGAGCAGACCAATAACCTGAGAGAAGTTGGTTGTTTTAGCAAAGAGAGAAAACCTGACTCTGGTTTTGCACCAATGGACTTTGGACATTTAGGTTCATTAAAAAAAGAAACTTATAAATAAGCCTGTTTAATCTTAGCAGCTTAACCACACATGGAATTTCTTTTCTGCAACTCTCTACATTTTTTTTCCATCTGATTTTTGACTCGTATGTTTTCTCTTTCTCATTCTGGGACCGTGAGTCTTTCTACTCTAGGACAAGATTACTCTTTCCCTTAAATAGGTCCTTGGTACTTTCCTTGGCAAAAAGATATCTTCCTTTCCTAAACAAAGCATTTTTATCCTATTCTTCATCATAATTTTTTTATACATATATATTGATTACAAATTTTAACCATTAAGTAACCTTTCTTTTCAGTGAAAACTAGAAAGTGAGCAATTGGGAATTATCTTCCACATACTCTAATTCTGTAGTCAAGCTGCAAAGACAGCCTTTCATAATTTCTAGAGGCATATGTATTTTCACGGTACAACTTCTCATGCTTATTAACTGACCCAAATATATTTACCTTCTCTACATCATGTAAAAACAAGATGCCGAAAGTAAATAAACTTTCGTTCAGCTGTTAATATTTTAGTACTTTATCTTATTTGGAAATAATCTATACATTCAGTGGATATTCATCACTTTTAACTTTGTATAGCTTTAAGGTTTTAAGTTATCAAAAAGATTTTTAAGTAAACATACTATAAAACATAATCATTGTTGAAAAGTTAATTTATAAACTTTTATCCCACATACATCTATTTAATTCACGTGTTCTTAGCTAGACTGGAATTGCTCATGAAAATTTCATGAGACAGAAAACAAAGCTAGTCATCATCTGAAGTTGTTTTTCTTGTTGACAAAGTACGCAAGTATCAAAATATCACTGAAGCGAAGAATCTAGAAAGTTAAACATATGGTTCTTCCCTTCCCCCCTTTTTTTTTAACTGCCGTGCCTGACGTGCATCAAGCAATTAATTCACGTTTATTGTACATTTAATTCTTAAGGTGGATTTATAGTTTTATAAATTTTAAACATCTAGTGGAGATAACATAAGCTTATTTGAGTAGTAAACTTAGGTAGAAAAAAATTGTATCTCTGTATTATATTTAATGCTGACAACTCTGAAGAAATGCCTATTTTTACTTCACCAACAATTTCAAAACTAGCTTTGTTTATCAGAGAGTATCCCAGATAGTGTGAATTTCAGAACACATGTGGGTTAGGTTCTGTATTTCTGAGAGTTTTGGGAAAACTGAATTCGTATGAGTGCTCATTTACATCTAAGCCAACGTGAATAGAACTCCTGTAAGAAATTTAGTAGATTAATCTGGTTAGACTATTTGGAGGTAGAAAAAAATCACATATACATTTTACACACACACACACACACACACACACACACACACACGTATAGACAGATTCAGAGAACTTTTAGCTTTCGTTTTAAAATTTTAGCAATGTGTCAGATGCTTTAATATCTAAAATCTACTGTAGTTACTATTTAAAAATCTCCTTTTTTTTTTAATTTCAAGTGCAGGGTAGTTCTCTTTCCAGTGTCCTGGTCTTTTACAGTATCTGCAAGCCTTTTGAAATGAATGGGTGAGGTTTTGGAAATGGTAAAGATAGACGGGCTTTGAATTGCTTTTCAAGCTGCATTTCTGGCTTTGTAAAGACGCAATTTGTAAGACAGGGACGGTTGTTTATAATTCTTCAAAGGACTGGGTCGCAGCCTGAACGTTATCCAGGGGCTGACCTGCCCATCCAGCTGCATTACGTTCACTTTGCTCTTTTTGTCAGGGAGATTCCCGACTAAGATGGACATCAAAAGATCCCTGTGTTCTAGATTCAAGGCTGTGTGTCTTTGAAATGTTTTTAAAAAATTGTTCCACATAGGCTTCAGGACGTGTTCTTTTCCTCTGAGTCCATAGTTCCATTTTAGGGTAGGAAAGAAGGCCTTATATAAACAGTTTCTGTCAGACTCAGTATCAGCCGCTAATCCAAAAAACTTCTGACCATAGAGCTTCTTAAAAAAAATCGTTTCAAATATTTAAACCAAAGGTATATCCATCAAGAGACTGGAAACCAAAATCTATACTTAACCAGGGAAGCAAGAGGCACCCCCAAAGAGGGTATAAAAGATGCTGACCTCCCAAGATCCAGAACCGCCCTCAAAGATAGCCAAGAGAAAGACAGACAGACAACTCCCCTGAGAGCTGGCAGTGGTCAGTAGGATATTAACTGAAAACGGGATGCAACCCACAGTTCTGTCTAGCCATATATATATATGTGTGTGTGTGTGTGTATATATATATTTTTTTTTTAATTGAAGTATAGTCAGTTTACAATGTTGTGTCAATTTCTGGTGCACAGCACAATGCTTCATTCGTACATGAACATATATGTATTCATTTACATATTCTTCTTCACCATAAGTTACTATAAGATATTGAATATAGTCATGAACTTGCTTATTTATTTTATATATATCAGTGTCTGCAAATCTCGAACTCCCAACTTACGCCTTTCCACCCGCCCCCCCACCCCCAATAACCATAACTTTGTTTTCTATGTCTGTGAGTCTGTTTCTATTCTGTAAATAAGTTTGTTTATCTTTCTTTTTAGATTCCACATCTAAGTGATATCATAATGATATTTTTCTTCCTCTTTTTGGCTTACTTCACTTAGAATGATGATCTCTAGGTCCATCCATGTTGCTGCAAGTGGCACAAATTTATTCTTTTTATGGCTGAGTAGTATTCCATTGTGTATGTATGTGTGTGTGTGTGTGTGTGTGTATATATATATATATATCTCATATCTTCTTTATTGATTCATATTGATGGACATTTAAGTAGCTTCCATGTCTTGGCTATTGTAAATAGTTTTGCTGTGAACATTGGAGTGGATGTATCTTTTTGAACTAGAATTTCCTCTGGATATATGCCCAGGCGTGGGATTGATGGATCATATGGTAACTCTATTTTTAGTTTTTTAAGTGCTCTCAGTACTGTTTTACACAGTGATTGCACCAATTTACATTCCTACCAAGTATAGGAGGGTTCCCTTTTCTCCACACTCTCTCCAGCAGTTGTCATTTGTGGATTTTTTGATGATGACCATTCTGATTGGTGTGAGATGGTACTTCATTGTACTTTTGATTTACATTTCTCTGATAATTAGTGATACTGAACATTTTTTCGTGTGCCTATTGGCCATTTGTATATCTTCACTGGAGAATTGCTTGTTTAGATCTTCTGCCCATTTTTGGATTGGGTTGTTTGCTTTTTTTGTTGTTATTAAGTTGTATGAGTTATATATTCTGGAAATTAAGCCCTTGTCAGTCGCATCATTTGCAAATATATTCTCCCATTCTGTAGCTTGTCTTTTTGTTTTGCTTATGGTTTCTTATGCTGTGCAAAAGCTTATAAGTTTAATTAGGTCCCATTTGTTTATTTTTGCTTTTATTTCCATTGTCTGCATAGACTGCCCTAGGAGAACATTGCTAAGATTTATGTCTAGCCATATTTTGGGGGTCTTCATTCTGACAGTTGGCCAGTGGCACACAAGAGAATCAACACTTGTGCACCCTGACAGGTGAAAATGCCAGCCAAGAACACAAAACAAGGAGCAACCAGGAAGGAAATAACCGTTCTTGGAAGGCTGAGGCTCAGTAATCAAGGGTACCCCCAAAACAAATTTTAAAGAGTCACAATCCAAAGAGCTGATTATCAGACAAATATTTTTCTTCCGCTAAGCTGAATTTTGAAAGGAAAAGACTCTCACC